AAATAAGAGCAATTTTAATTCTCTATCCTAATTCAATGTTATAGAAAATCATTGGCTGATCTTAAGTTTAGTCCTAAAATTTGTAGCTAGGCTAAGAGGATACTAGCTCCCACTACAGAGATCCCACTTCTCTTCCCCTGAAGGCTAACTCTCGTTTTAGTTTTTAAACACTAAGATCAAATTGGGGATTTTTAGTCTGTCACCCTGAAAATTTTAGTCTGCCACCCTAAAGATTCTCCAATTCTACACCCAACTAAGTATATTTCCCTATTTATTTGAATTTAATCCCATGAACGAAATACTCTTTCATGGATTTAAATGTGATTCTCACTCTGTTTTAGAACTCATAGTCCATTTCTCGGATCATATGTTTTACAACATATTTTAACAATTTAATTGGTCAAATCGAAAAGTAAATTAAGAGTTGAGTTGAAAAATCATCACAATTTATTTTAAATTTTAACATTGACACATCTACATTATCTCTTCATTTCACCATATCTCAGAGTAGGGAGAAAGATAAAGGAATCTACTCAGATTTCATGAGAAAGATACAACAAAACACAAATTTCATATATAAAAGAAAGCTCATACAATAATAATAAACAAACAACACTTATCTGAAACTCTTTTTCAAAACAAATCTTTTGTAACCTCTCTTAGGAAATGTAGGAAGAAGAAATCTCACTTCTATTCCTCTCCAACACTTCTTAGAGAAGAATTCACACTTAAACTCACCACAAAAACTCAAATTTATAAAAATAATAACTAACTAATGGTGTGGAATGTAGGTGTGTGAAAAGGAAAATTGAAAATGAGTGGAAGAAGTTGAAATGGTGCGAGGGGGGTTCTGATCAAATTTCGGCCCTAAATAGAGCTTAGATCGGTTCTCCATTAGGTGCATCCAACAATTCTTCAAAAAGCATACAAATTAGTCGAATCTTCTAGAAACAGGGCTTCCACCGACACCTGGGCCCATCCTGGCGCCAGAGGCCCGTAAATAAATCCCAAATTTCTGTGGGCGCGGTCGGCGCTGAACAAATTTTGAACTTCTCCATTTTTGCTCTAAATTTCATCTTTTTTGCTTTATTTTTGCTTCACGTCCTCAAAATCAATAACCTTAAATAAAACATAGAAAATACCTTCCATTAAAGTAAAATATCACCAAAAATGTATAAAATATTGTTCTAAAAATGCATATATTTTTTGTATCAAAAAACTAGCTAAATTATATTGGATCAAATTGTCACATTGTATGGGGTGCCAAAGTCTATTGCTTCCGACAGGGATGATAGGTTTACTTCTAAATTATGGAAAACAAGAAGCTTTGGCCACTCGACTGACTCTCAGTACAATATTTCACCCTCAGGCAGATGGTCAATCAGAGAGAACTATTCAAACCTTTGAGAATCTACTAAAGTTATGTATCCATGACTTTGGTGGAGTTTGGGAATCATATATACATTTAGTAGAGTTTGTCTATAATAACAGTTGTCAGACTAGTATTGGGATGACTCCATATGAAGCCTTGTATGGAAGGAAGTGCAGGACACCTCTAGGTTGATTTGAAACAGATGAAAGAAAGATCGTTGGAGTTGATTTAGTTTATGATGTTACTGAGAAAATTAGACTGATCCAAGACAGATTGAGGGTAGTACAAGAAGACAAGAAAGATTATGATGTCAAGCACAGACCTGTTGAGTTTAAAGTTGGAGTTTGTTTTTATCAAGGTCAATCCATTGAAGGGTGTGCAATATTTCGAGAAGACAGAAAAGTTGAGCCTCAAATATGTCCGTCCATTTAAGATTGTGGAGAGGAACAGGAAGGTAGCTTGCAAATTGGCTTTACAAGCTCACATAGCAAAGGAAGAGGAGCTCATGTGGTCGAACCGAGACCTAAAAGAGGAAGGAGTGAGCTTCGCCCGTAAGCAAGGGCAGAGGTCGAAACTTTATGTAAAGGTATGTGTAATATCTTATATAAGTTAATTAATTAATATGTTGTTAGATAAATAATTATATATGTGAGAGTATGCCTAATTAATAAATGCAAAGTCTTATTGAATCAGAAATCTAAATATAAGAATTTTGGCCTGGAAAGAGGAGTTGGTGAACTGGACGAACTAGGGAGGAAGGTGATCGACCTGAAAGCATGTAAGGTACATGTTAAACCTTATTTTATTAATAAAATTAATGACATAATTAGCTACATTGATTAATTAATGTTATTAAATTTTATTACTGTTAGGAAATGAGGAAGAAAATCAGCAAATCATTTGGATTTGAGGTATGTCTTAAATTAAAGTTTAATTTACTTAATTAGGAATTATTATTTAATAAAATATTAATGCTTAACTGCACTTTAGGTTGAAACACATTTAAGTCCAAAAGCTCAGGAGTTAGGGAGTGTGGCAAGTAAGCTAATCAAGGTGAGTGATTATTTTGTTTTATGCATTAAATTAATGTTATTTTAAATGTATAATTGCTTTATTAAAAAGTTTAAGATAGATATCTCATTCATGCCTTGCATTTTGATAATATTAAATGGTATCATAAATGCGAGAAAATTAATGGACATATGAAGATGCATTTTAAATTATTTTAAACCATATGAAATGAAAGGTGAATGTTTAAGTCTACAGGATTACCCCCCATATGGTACTGACAGGAGATGCAATGTACCATGCACCTTAAAGGAAATGATAAATGTTTATCTTCGAGTACAATTTGAGGGTGTCTTCGGGTGCATTTTTAGGGAGTCTTTGGACACATTTTTTAATGTACCTTCGAATACATTTTGAAGATACATTCTGGCATGACAGTAATCCTGTAATAATTATTAAAAAGGTTAAAATGGTAAATACTTAAAATGAAACAGGAAGGGAAAAATTCAAGTATTAATGAAACGAACTACATTTTCTTTTTCTCATTCATGCAGAGCATAAAGATTGTAAATTAATGTATATTAGATCATAATTACTCACTAAGTTATACTTACAGTTGTCATTAATGATTTATTTCAGGAGAATGATAGTTTTAAGTTAATATGTCTGATAGGAGAGACTTAGTTTGCAAGAAGGACCACTGCGGCTAGGTAGTTTTATCATCGTAATTTTTCTTTACTGTTTCTTTCAGATATTTATATATTGTTTAGTACTGGCTTGAAATATTGTCTTTAGATGTTATTGTTCTGGATGCTTTAGATTTTATTGTAATTTGTGGATTAGTGGCTCTTTTAAATGCATTGGAAGTTTTCAAAATGTGGATATTTAGATGTTAATTCTGTCCGACCGCAATTCCCGCCTTAGTCAATTCTAAGCACTGTGTCGGGTAGAGACAAATAATGGAGGTATGCACTCGATGAGTCAAGCTTGAACACACTCAACTTCAGTTCAAGCCCCATTACGAATCAAGTCAAGCTCAATTTGGGGGAGCCTCATGCTCAACTCGAATTGTATACATTTTTAATAATCTTCACCATCATTGATAAAAGACATATCTTAACTCATTAAGACTGACATAATAAGCCATGTTATTCCACTCATACACGTTGAGCGTTACATATGGTGTTAAGTATACATTCTGCCTTTTTTTTTTGGCTAGACAACTAGCTAAGTTGCAACTAGTTCCATCATAATTTTACCACTTTAATACCATCAACTTGCTTTATCAACTTATTTCCTTTACCTCCTCTTCATTAAGTGTTCCTCTCATCATCACTCTTGATTAGTCATGCTCAATTTATCTTTCCTAATTGAGTACAGTGCCAAAATAGTTCTTGACTACTTATAAGGGATATTTTAGTACCAAAGTCTCTAAAAGTGTCAAATTAGTCCTCATACTCAATAAATCGGGGCTGAAATAATCCCCACAAAAGATTATTTCATCCCATATTAAAAGTCTTTGGGGACTAGATTGGCACTTTTATAAAATCTAGGACTCAAATGACCCCTGCAAAGATTCAATGGACTATTTTAAACTTTTCTTGCTCATAATTTTATCATATAGTCATCTTAAAACTCCTATTTCTTCCAAAAGTAAACAAAACTCACAATGACTTCTTTACCACTCAGCATAGATAGTCTAACTACAATTTTATGCAATTTATCTTTAAATCTTTGTGGCATTATAGAGTACAAATTATATGTAAGAGGTAATTTCAAACTTCAACAAACACTTTTTACTCTAGATAAACTCACATATTCCATTACTAATATGTAAAATAGCACCAAAATAGATAAACTGATCGCATCAAGAACTTCATTACCAATAATATGATAGATCAACTAAAATTGCATCAAATGTACATATAGTTTATTCTATTATGCTAAAGCCTCTCGTTTAAGAGAAAAAAATCTTAGTAAAAATTTTCTTAACTTAAAAATATCACCTATCAAACTGCATCTATTGCAAATAGCATACCCAGAGAGAACCACATTTTGAATATCCTTTTAAGTGTATCTATGATCTATGTAAAAAGTATAAACTCAACATTGCTCCTTGATTAATCTTACTATATTTGAAACTCGTTCATAAATCATAAACTACTTTTACTAGTTATGGTTGCAACTTATTTATTCTAATAACTTCACCTTACAATTGGCATTGTGTTCTTAATGCACTAAATAAATTCGCAGTTTTTATCATTATACTAATTCAGGAGCAATAAATGCTGCCATTCTTTAAATATAAACTCCGATCCAAATAAATTTAAGCATTCTTTCATAAGACTATTGAAGGTTATTAAGTAGATATATTTAGTTATCATCTAAAGAATGTCTTTACAAGTTGTGTTTATGCAGTTTGAATGTTGATTTCGAACCTCTCCAGAAACAAGATGATATTCTCCAGTATCCATAAGAGGTAAAAGACTGACGACATTAAAAAGAGTTCAGTTATTTGTAACTTGAATTTTCTACCACATAACAAACTCTGAATGATATGTGAGAATGATCAAAGGAAAGAATACAGATATCAAGTTGTAATAAAGGCATGCTTTACTACCTCGACAACAGGCTTTGCAACTGCTTCATAAACTCGTTTTTGAGAAGCCGTCTCTGTGAAAATGTCGTCAAATTTATAGGATTCTGAACTCCAATTATTCTTTTTAAGCTTAAGCCTCCTCAGCTGAAACCAAGTAAATGCAATATGGTGCAAATCAAATGTTAGTGTGTGATGTTCAGAATTTACATACCATATTTCAGTTCGTAATAAAATTATAGCTAAATCAGATAAAATTGTAAGTAAACCAAGATTTAAAAACCTCCGGTTGTAACTCAAGGCAATCAATAAATTCAGAGTCGTAATATATATCCTCATCACTTTTAGGCCTGACTCTGACGGCCACTCGCACCCGTCCTGAATCTGAAAACATAAAATTTACACCAGTTTCATAGGCAATAGTCTGTAATACGAGTAAACTGTAGTAAGTAATAAACCGAATCATTATTTATAGCTTCGGTTCCTTGAATCATTATAATGTCATGCATCAGTTCTACATGGTCCTTTGTTACAAACCAAGGATTACAAAATACAAACTGACAATAGCTCTAAAAGAAAACCCAAAAGCCTTCGACAAAAATCTACGAGGTATAATGCCATAGATCATAGACCCTTTACTATATCTATAATCATGCAAATTTTTTTGCTAGGACAAGTTCCTCTTTTTTTAAAATTTAATTGCCACTTCCTCGACTTTCTGTGGAGAACAAGATCACAAATTTTAGTCACTTTAAAAAAAGAAGTGGATTTCACTCCAGCTGAACTTAAAAAACATTTAGGAAAAAAGAAAGCTTCCTATAATACTTTCTTCAGCAATCGTGCCCCTATTGCTTCTGTGAACATTGATCAACTCCAAAAGAAATACATTTCTTAGCCCTTATCTAAAACCAAAAATACCAAAAACCAAATCCCAGAGGACAAGAACTCAGATTTAAGACTAAATTGTTATGAATCTATTGTTGACTGAATGGACAGTGAGCAGTAACATGTTTACTTCTAGTGGTAAAATGACAATTTTGAAATTATTCTTTTCGATAGTATCAAACCATGACTCTAATTTTATTTTCATACTTTTCTGGTGTCATTTGGGGTTAAATTAGGGCAGAGTTGGATGGCTTAGTAAGAAGTAAATGACATGAAGCGTGAACCAAAAATCCTAACATAGTTCTATACTCCCCTTTTCCTTCATGAGAAGTTATAAAATTTGATGCATATATATAATTATGAATCTAAAAATAGTGTATTGTGTTCTTGTAATAAATAATATCCTTGCAAAAGTATTATAGAGCTTTCTTCTAAGAAGTTCAATATTTCTCATCTTTGAATTTAATATAATTTATTTTGTACACACTTATAGTAAGAAGTTTGTTAGGTTTATAAATATTAATTGTAATGAATTTAATCAATGATTTATAATGAAGATCCAATTTCCCATACATGATCCTTTGTTTTAAGCATTTGTTGGTGTACTGTTTATATTAAGTTAATAGGCTTCTAAGCAACTTAATAGATAACCAGATTATTAATTTGGAAAGAAAAATAATATCAAAATTAGAATTTCTAGCGAATGTTTGATTCAAATACGATCTATAACAAAAATGTGATAAAAGATGATTATAGATGACAAGATCCATGGATGAAATAACTTTGGGATAAATATGAGAATAATGTGGAAAATCTTTAGAATCATTTATTTATGGAATATGCTTGAATTGGTTGTTTAATATTTACTACGCAATACAATGAACATATTAGTAACCCAGATTCTTTTCATTCTAAGTTTTATGAAGCTCCAACGATGGAGCAACAGGATCAAAAATCACGATCAAACTATTAGATTGCCCAAGATCTCTATTAGGTAAGTGACTTTTTACTAAGCAATAAATGTAACCTTCCTCATTAGAGATGCACTCATTATTATTTGTTTGTGTTTAATTATTGGAATGCTATCAAATTGGAGACTAAAATCCTTGGTTTCAAGGTTAGACATTCAAATATATAAAATAGGAATGATTAGTGATTGTTGAGTCTTTTATGAATGTATAAATAGTATAAATGTAAGTGAATGATTTCACGCTTGAACACAATGATCATCAATTTAAGTATAAGTTTTATGAACTCCAATGTATAATCAGCACCATTAAATGGTAATTGAAATCTTATCATTTTTACATTATTTACAAATGAAATGATATGACATTCCATTATTATAACTACATTTTTAATTGACCATATTTATGCTTTGTACCTTGTCATTCATAATTTACTAATCATAATTTCACCTATTGAGTATATACCTTGCAAACTCACAACTATTAATCGATAATTTTCAGATAATTAGTTATACATTATCCAAAGAAGAATTTCTAGACTCGTGCTTCATGTTCATAATTGAAAGTTGATAAAATTTAGAAGTAATCTAATTTAGTAATGCTTTTTATGTTTTAGATGAGTTGTTATAGTACTTAGATTTCATTTACATTTTGGTGGATAAATTAGTAAGTATTATTGAATTTTGATGCTACAATAATCTTATTGATGCATTAATATTACTGAAATGATTAAATCCAAAAATAATGCCCCGACTATTCATGTGTAGTTGTATTTCTCCAATTTCATCCTTCGAGTAAATAAAATTGATCTAAAATGATCCCTCTTATAGAAGTATAAAACAAATTTCATCTCAGTCTAATCATTCAATTATACAAAATTGATCCTACTTGGTCCATGAGAGGTTATTTTAGATCAAATTTACATGGTAGATGGATTAAATTGAAGTGGTGCAATACTCTAATAACTAAATTATTCATCTTCAAATTACCTCTTTCTTCAAAATTTTTGTAATATTCCTTTAGGCCCAATGATAGGGTGTGACACTTGTACTCAACTGATTTAATATTAAAACTGTGACACACAAGTAAACCAAAGCATTGGATAAATAGTAAGGCTACTAGTAACTCCAATGCAAATAAAATATTCAACTACATAAAATAGAACTAAGCCACTAAACGCCCGAGTTAAATAAGTGCAAATATAAAAATGAATAATAGTGACGTAGAATAATCTATGCTAAGTAATCAATTTTAAGCCCAAGTAAATTATTTTACTCTACACAATCACACAATAATTTAATTGCACTAATCACCAAGTTAACATTCAAGCATGAACAAGAGTAAAATAAATAAAAAATAAATGTAAATCAGCAATAACTGAACAATTTTAGACAAAATTAAATTTGTATATGATTTAGGAACCGGCCGACCTTCATCCATGCCTAGTTTCTATTTAAATTAGAATTCCACTAACCAAACTTGTAGCTACAAGCTCAACTCCTTTACTCCAAGAAGTAGGTGAAGAAACCTCTGCATAATTTTGTTTAGGGAGTGAGAAAACTCGATACTTTTTCTAAGTTGTTCAACAAAAAGTATCCCACACACAAAAGCTTTGGCACACAAAGCTTAAATAAGTCCCGCTAGAAGGCACAAAACCAATTTCATAAATTTAAAGCTACCATAAATCTATTGAATTTTGGTAGTAAATTAAGATAGTCACCAACAAAATCTTACAATTACTCACTTTAATAAGCTACAAAACATAAAAAGTAAAACACTATACATAGAGCCTGAAAAGATGAAATGAGAAAAAATTTTACCAAAAAAGCAAGCCCATGAGGGATTTAAAATGGATGAACACATTGTTTCTTTTCTTGAAAAAATCCTTGGAATAATTTTACCAAGAAATCTCTTTTTGATTCACAAGTCAAATAACTTTTCATTTCAAATATATGTAATATCCATAGGCCTAGAAATCCCCTAAAATATCTCTCAAAAACATTTAAAAAAACTCAAAAAAAAGTCCATAAAAAAAAGACAAATGATTCACCAACGATTCCAAGAGATTCCACCAATGACTGATTTGACTAATTTTTCCTATGTTAAGATATGTATATCGAGGACCATTTATGGTCGAAATGGAGCGGTTCTAGAGGCCATCATGTTAATTAAGTTTTGGAAAGTAGCTAATATTTTAAATAAATTCATTTTTAATCATCCATTTTGCTCGAAAGTGTATTATATAATATATAAAATAGTATGCAAACCATCCAATGAACCTAATGAAATAAAAATTAAGCCCAAATTTATTGATTATATCATAGTTGCTTCATCAACCATAATTATCATGAATGTTTAAATATATTAAATGAACACCAAAAAATTTGAATTTTTACCGTAGAAAAGAAAAAAAGTTAGAAAAAATTTAGAATAATTTGATAATTCTTAAGTTAAAAACTATTTAATTTCAATTACCATAATTAAGGATTATGTCATTTAATTAAAGAACTAAATGACACAATTATAAAACTAAAGCTTAGGTAACATTTAACATTACTAATAATCAATGCCATGGTGAGATAATATTTAGCACATGATCACTACTTATTATAATTCATTCAAAAATAAATACCAACAAATTAGATAAATAAAAAATAAATCCAAAAAAATCACAATAATTACAATTAAATCATAGTTTAAAATTAGTTTAGTTATATATTGACCACCCTAGTGACCATTGGTAAAAAAACTCAATCAATTTAAAATAAATCATGAATAAGATGCATGGTAAGCATATAAACTTTGGATTCCTCACTTTGCATCCCTGAATGTGTTTGAGATAGATAACTTGAGTTTGTCTTCAAATGGAAAAGCAAAAAGCAAGCTTAGTGAAAAATTGATCTTCATCAAAATGGCCTTGAAAAACGATTGACGTAAAATAAAACACTTATAAAAAATAAGATGACATCATATAAAATTTATTGTCGCAAATCAATAAGCCATATATGAGTCATATGAGCTCTTAAGGCCAATAGGTTGTCCGTATAGGTGACACATATTAGACCTACAAGTTATGCACATTAGAAATGCTATAACTCCCCAGAAGAAAAAATGTATTGCTTTCTCCATTATATGTTTAGCCATGAATAGCAAAGCATGCACGTGGTTGTGTGAAACACAAGGCGATTGGAAAGGCTTGCTAGTCAAGTGAAGAGACTGAAGATTAACATGTAAAAGCAATTAGTAACTAGTTTATATAGCATTTGCATATATTTCAGTCTATAACTGTGCTTTATCAAGAAATTATGCTAGCTTAAACACTCAAATCATTGACCTATAAGTGTTGGATCCCATCATCGAAGACAACGATAAAGTATAATAAGCATGAGCGTGATAATATCTGAATGCGTTGCAGAGCCGAAAAATCTAGAGGATCAAATAGATGGTTATCACACAGATCAACGTTCTTTTGCTTGTTCCAACTGTCATTAACCAAAGACATTAACATAATTTCCAAACTAAAATCATGATCCTCTTTTACTCCTCCATTTTCATTCTTCATTCAAGATCCCGCCTAATCTCCAATACAATCAAAACCCTCGGGGGAGCGCCTGCGGGGATCCTCGCTGCGGCCGACTTTTTACCTGACGAGAAGCCGCTGCCGCTGGTGGATGAAAGGATGCGACGATCGGAGCGTTGGGAACATCGCGCGAGAGATGGTGATGCCATGGGTGAGTGTTGGGGATGTCGAGAGGATTTTGAGAGCTCAGTAGTGATTGGATGGTCTGCCTTCCCGCCCTCACAATTTCAAAGGGACGCCACTCAATTTTTAAACTCGGGCGTTGCAGTTTGCGATCCCTGCGTGTGCACCCACATTCGAATTAAAAAAAGAAATGGCTTTTTTACATGTAGGGGCTTCAAAACTCTTAAATTCGCACCTCTTCTTCTCTTCAAAACTCTTGTTACTTCTCGTAGTCGGATTATCTTAGTTTTTTTAGGGAATAATATTCACTTAATTTTTTTAAAATAGTTATTATGTTAGTTTAGTTTAATTGTTTATGTTTTGTTCACATTTAATATACTGTTATGCTGATTTTTTTTTAATTATTTAGGAAATATTGAAATGTTTTCTTTTTTTTAATTGTTTTTTAATTTAAATCAATAATTTTTAGCATTATGATGTTGTAATGCACGTTATTATTTGAAATTATGTACGATTCACATTTAATATACTGTTATGCTGATTTTTTTTTTTAATTATTTAGGAAATACTGAAATGTTTTCTTTTTTTGAATTGTTTTTTTTAATTTAAATCAATAATTTTAAGCATTATGATGTTGTAATGCACGTTACTATTTGAAATTATGTACGGTATGATGAAATTCTGCTAATTTTTATCTTACATCGTTATGTTATGAACCAAGTAAGTTTCTTATTTTTTTTAATTATTTATGCTTTGTCAAAATGTTGTCTGTAATATATTGGAATTATTAACGATGTGTCGAAATACTGTCCGAAACTATTATAAATTATTTTTATTATTTCTAATTACTGCTCATGTCGTCAAGATACTGTCTTACACATCCTCATTAGCAAAATAAGAACAAATTAGTTTTATATAAAATTAATTGAAAGCTCCATAATGTTTACTTATGTTTATTTTTATACTGCAATATTTCTTATTATGAGAATGCATTATAATTATCTATAGACCAATGTTATATGCACATAAAATATACTGTTTTTAAAGCTATAAAGAATTTTGTCAAAAGGGCTTAAACTACCTAAGAAAAACTTGGGACGTAAGTGGTTTTTTTACCCCTCCTCAATTAGAAGTTCTTATAGCAATGAATGCATTTTTTTCATTGCACATACCAAAACAATTAGCGCTTTATATTTTGCAGCTCTTATTATTTGTTATTATTATTGAGGAAATTTTAATTATTTTTTAAGTAAATGTCAATTAAAATGTTAATATTGTATGGTCTATATACAGTCTGGAAAACCGACGATGCATGGCTATTGGTCTAATTATCTGCAGGTTATTTGAACACCATATATAGATGTAAATATTTGTGTTATTACATAACATTTATTTTGAGAGCATGGGCATTTGAACTGCAAGTATTACACTAAAAGGATTGAAAGCATGTCGAGCGGCACTTTCCATATCGTGTTATGCATCGGTTCTCAAGCTCCCAGTCAATATCCATTGAACCCATAGAACAAGTTTTCCATAGAACTGATGGGCGAGATAAAGCAGGACTTAATTGGGAGTAGTATCATAGTAAATATATCGAGATATAGAATAATCGTCGGGTATTTATTGTGTTGATAAGCCTAGCAGAAAGAAACAGAAAGGAAGGATTATAAAATTATTTGTAGTGATATCAGCCTTAAACTTCACTCTACTTAACCAAAGCCTCAAATTAAGCCCCATGAAACATAATACACACGATCACCAAGAAAGATAATAGAGGTAAGTTCTTACATTTTTGCTTGTCTATATAGCTGCAACTATACTTTTATTATAATACATAATAATAATCTAAAATTACCAATCATACAGTTGGATTTCCTTATTCATATCAAGAACATTTTCGAAAATATGGAGGGGATCGTGGAGCAAATACACGTTCGATGACAAAAGTTACAACGAGATTTTAGAGTTATTACGCAAAGTAGAAGAATCAGTGCACATTCATTATATGTCATTTGATCGGCCTGGTCGACATGATTTTGAAGCAGGGTAGTCTCATAGCATATATTAAACTAAGGGCCCCCATAGATCAACCTCTGATGCTCCACCTCGGTCATATTTCGTTGTTGTGAGGCGATCAACAGTAGATGCTCCAAGAAGATCTTTTGTTTACAAAACACAAAGATCTTCGTTTCAAGAAGCAGAATATCAACAATATCCAGAAACACAAAGGTTATCAATATATATGAATCATGTCCTTAAAAAAAACATCATAAATTTAAAGCAAGGGAAGAAACATTAGATTTCCTATATTCTATAAGGTGGAGAGGTAGATATATACTTAATATTCTTTATATCATAAGAAGATGTCTATATAACACACTTCTCTCTCTCTCTCTCTCTCTCTCTCTCTCTCTCTCTCTGGTGAAACTATTCTATAAAAGTTAGAAGAAAGAAAAGAGTGACACATAAATAAGACGAGAAATTTTATATGAATTTGGTCTATAAACTGATATTCACCACCAAGACACAAAACAACAATTATCCATTATTTTCAACTTATGAGTATGGGAAAGGTTATATGTAAGGTATGATATGTGTTTTTTAGAGTTCTTAGAGTATAGGGGAAGAAAATAGATGAAAAAAAGAAACACATCAAAGATAAGTTACACTAAAGAGCGATTTTTTTAATATGATTATATAAGTGTGATGAAAAAAAGAAGTGATAAAATTAAAAGGCTACCCTTTAAGACTTCTGCAACAATTGTAATAAACTTTATATAAATTTTAAAAGTATTTGAATGCAGGGGTGAGCATATTTTGGTTTAAAACTGAAAAATCAAACAAAATCGAGTTTATTTGGTGGATTTGATTGAATTTTTTAAAAAGTAGGTTGATTTTTTATTTAGAATTAAGGTTTATTTAGATTTCAACTTCTCACTCAATTTTAGAAAAAGGAAATTTGGTTAAACCAAAATATTAAAAGATCATTAGGTTGTTTTTAATTTTCTCTTTATTATTTATTTTGATTTGGGTACCTGAATTATCAAAAATAAATATTTTACTTTCTTAAATTTATTTAAAAAATGAAAATTAATAAACTGAACTATACTATGATTTGATATAAGAGATGAAAATAGAAAAAAATGGAAATACATCGAGGAGTTATGCTAATGGTGGAATTATCTTTCGTATGATTATGGTAGGTGTGATGAAAATAGTGAGAACATAAAAAGGCTACCCTTAAGTCTTCAACATCAATTGTAATAAAAATAATCAAATTGTGGAGGGATAAGTTCAAGGTACTTCTCAGGCTTGAATGTGGGGCTAACTAGTTAGTGCTAACACAAAAGGTGACATAGTTACATCAAACATGTATATTTGCCATTAATACTTATAATAGAAGTAAAATATCAAATAAATGAAATTAAACCAATGGAATGACAACTATTATCTCAAAGCAAGTGTTGGTGAAAAGTCTTGCCAAGCTTCTCACTTCATAAAGTTCCATAAGGCTAAGTGTTAGTCCACCATACCACTCTCTGATACTAATAACTAAGTGAATAAAGGATGAATGATCATCAAAGCCTCGAAATTTTGGTTGGTGACAAAGCAAAATAAGATTAATGGAATCAATCTAGAACAACTTCAAAACCACAATAATTCATTTTATAAAATGCTATTTTAAATATAACACAAACATTCATCTTTCTCCCACTAAAAGACACACCCTTTCATTTTGAAATGAATAAGGAAGGAGAAAATAGGTGGTCCCTTCCCATAACCACCTCATGACCACGTCTCATTCTGACTGCATTTAACTTTTTCACATGTAACAACACTCCAAACCATAAATGTTGACTTATGGTTAACATTCCTATGATATAAGTTCACAAAGTGAAAGTGACAAAATAGCACATTAACTTACCCATATAATACAAGCAAATCAAATACAACATAAAGCTATTTAGAAAATATTTCCAAATAAGAAAATGTTATGTACTGAACCTTAGATTGTTCCTTTAGGCTTGGCTTCTTGTAATTGGACCTCATGTATGCATGGTAGCTATCTTGGAGTGAGCTCTAGTTTTGGGCTTACCTCCTATGTTTATGGCCCCACCTATAAGCCATCGTGATGTTGTGGTCATACTTTTTGGGAAAAGATAATATTTTGGACAAAAAAATATAATTTTACTTATGGGCTAGTTGATGGCTAAATGTCAACAATTTATGTCTCTAATGATTCCTTAATCCTCAAATGAGTTTAAAATAAGTTCTATTATTATTAGTTATTGTGCTTGAATCGGTAGGCTTGTAGCAATGATGGTTGAAAGGCTAGGGTGGCGATGGCAGTGTTGTCAAATTAGAACGTTGAAGTAGATGAGATTCAACATCCATCGATGCACTAAAAATTGATGTTCAGAATAAAACTATATCTCAGTAATGCAATAAGGTGATATGATAGAGAAGTTATTGACTATGAAAATACCAATGCAACATTGAAGATCAATTCATCTACATTAGAAAAGATATTTTGATATTTGAAATTTTTTAGATATGAAGCCCACATTATGATGTGCAACTCACTTCTCACGCACAAGCCCTAACAATGTTAGAGGGTGTTAGATCATCAAGTGTTTGCTATTAATGCTTATTGGGCATTACAATTTGAGTGTCTTGAAAGAAGATTTAGATCAATAGGGGTAGGGTTGTAAACATATCAAGCATTTGATTATATACTCTCAGCTCAGCTCAATATGAGATATTTCACGTTTATTTGATTAGTAAATTAAACAAGTTTGAACACTTTTATAAATGCTCGATTATTAAATTAAAAAGCTTGAACAAGTCCTTATTCAATTCAGTTATATTCGTCAACAATATCATTTAAAACTCACAAACAGACTCGTTAAGAAGCTCAATGAACAATTTCATTTAAAATCCATAAATAAGCTTGCGAGTAAGCTCGCTTAAAACTCAATCTAACTCGTATGAATGACAATAATTAATGCTTAATTAAGCTCACAAAAAGACTAAATTTAATTTTAATTTAAAATTCATTTATATTAAATTAAATTAAAATTTTAATAGTATATAAACATTTTAAATACTTGTTTGTTTGGATGTTCATTTCTTTTACACATTTATATGCTTAGTTTACTTATTAATTTTGTAAGTCATTCATTTAAAAGCTTGTTTGTTTTAATAAGTCCACGAAAGTAACTTATTTATAAGCTCAAAAAAACTTGTTTGATTTGAAAATAAATTGCTCAATCTTACTAATCAATAGTTTTAGTCTCATTTAATTAGAAAATAAATATCTTGATTACACTAGATTTAATTTGCTCAATAAAAACTATTTAGATAGAAATTAAGTAGCCCGATCATACTACTTAAAAATCTATTTGATAATGACTTGATTATTATTATATAAAATGAATATAAATCAAACTCAAACGATCATGATAATAAATGAACTAAGTTTGAGCATTAATACACCATCGACAAATTCCCAATCTCTGACATGAACTCGATGCATCACACGGATCTTGAGGCAATCTTTTGAACAAGAAATGTTCAAGCTTTGATTAAGAGTCATCCAAAGCTCTGATTTCAACAACTTACAATCAAATAGATCAGCTCAACGAAACGAACTCAATGATACCAAAATTGTTGAAATCTGAGTCAAATCAAGCTCAGATCAAGACATTAAACCAATTTTGGAAGCTTTCCAAGCATATTTGGAATGTCAAATAGATGTCGAATATGGTGCACGAATTGTTGAATTGAGCGTCTTGACAAGAAGAATCCAACGAGCCTAAGATCACTCATTTCCGACATCAGTAAGACACTCAATGTCCATCAAATACCATATGATCAAGGTAATCTCTCTGAGTCTTCCGGTCAGAGTAGTTTATATTCCTTTATTGATTGCAATTGAAGCTCCATAAATAGAACCCACCCCTCTCAAGAGGAAGAAAATGAGCTTGAAGCCTGAAGAAAAGAGCTTAAAGCTTGAAGAAGAGCTTGAAACTTAGACAAAGAGCTAAAATTTAGTATCACTCTTACAGTTGTCGATCACCGCCAACCATCATCGACCACCACTTGCTGGTCGTTGCCTATCTCATGCAACAAGTTCATCTGCACACTGACTTTATAACCTGGTAGATTGTGTAGCCCTTTTCAACATGTGGGATAAGTGACTGTATTTGTAATTTCTAGTTGATAGTGGATCTTTTCAGCTAGACTAGGCCCTTTGGTTTTTCCCTTTACGAGTTTCTGCAACAAAACTTATGATGACTCAAATCGTTTCTTTCTTTATGAGTGTTGAATTTTCATACAATGCTAAGATGATATTCTATTACTCTACCGTCACGAATCTTCTAGCACAGATCAATTTGACATCGTTTGTGGGAAACAAAGCCCCGTTCGACACTGTCTTCAACTCTGACATCCCAAGCCCTTACTTTGTTTCCCAATGATATAGATCATCCAACTGATGAAGGATCCTCCTATGTATCTTAAGATTATCTCTGAAGCATTCTTTGATGTAAGGAGCAATCTTCATTGCAGCCTCGAAAGGTCATTCACGTTAACATCCCAACACGACTGTGGTAGGGTAGTCATCCCATATTTCATTTATATAATAAGTATTTGAGAATTACTTATAAACTAGAGGCAATCTTCATCGTAAATAACGCTTTCTCAGTGCCCATCACCATATTGGAGTTCCTCTTCAATCAGATCAATGAACTAATATCTTCAAGGCTTGATGCATGAGCTATTTTATAAGCTCGTGTGGAAAACATCGCCGTTACTTATAAACTAGAGGCAATCTTCATCGTAAATAATGCTTCCTCAGTGCCCATCACCATATTGGAGTTCCTCTCCAATCAGATCAATGAACTAATATCTTCAAGGCTTTATGCATGAGCTATTTTATAAGCTCGTATGGAAAACATCGCCGCTAAAAGGCAAAAGATTCAAAAGTAGCAACTAATAAGTTGTCAAACATTATTCTTAAGTACGACTGCAACCATATTTCTAAGAAAACATATGATCCATTGCGACCTAGCCCCAATCTCGAGAAACACAAAGCATCTCTGACACCTCATTGTAGGTTTAATCAATCTCAGGGGAACGCTATTCGATCTCTTCCATCATAGGCTATAGTCGTCAAGCAGAAGCTTCGAATAACAACCTTGAATAAGTAAAAAATCCTTCGTGGATTTCCTTCGATCTCTTCCATAAACGATTATGATTGTCAAGCAAAAGCTTCAACCAACAACCTAGCATAGGTTAACCATCCTTGGTGCATTCCATATGACTTTGTCCATTACGGGTTAATGTCGTCGAGCGTTTCCAATTATACAACCCATGTTGAGTCTTACATCCTTAATGAATTCTTCTTTTTACTCTACTCAAACAAAGGTTATAGTCGTCAGACAGATGCACTTCGACTAATAGCCTAGGAAATTCAAACATTTACAGTGGAAAACAAGTCTCCTCCTATATCCTTAGAAGTCGATCCTAGGAGACAAGACTCAATGGGAAGCTACGGTGCTCCTGGAAGACAAGCTTAGGAGGCAAGTCTTGATGGGAAGCTATCATGCCCCTGAATGTCAAGCTTAAGAGGCAATGCTTGGTGGGAAGCTACGGTGCTCTTAGAAGATAAGCCCACGAGGATAGTCTTGATGAAAAGCTATCATGCCCTTGGAAGACTAGCCCAAGAGGCAAGTCTCGATGAGGAGCTAGTAGTGGGCAGAATCCTCAATATAAAGACTCCATGAGAGAAGGTGATTAATAGGGACTCCACTCAAAGACTTCAGGAGGTTACAGGTCTTAAAATATACAAGTAAATCAAAGACCTCAGAAAGCTACAAGCCTCAGAAGACATAGATACATCAAAGGTCTATGAATGCACGAGCCTCAAAAGGTACTCGATTCTTTTTTATAAATTATATGTACTAACTTTTATTGCAGACTTTCGTATGATGGAGAAACCACAGAACCTTAGAAGCTCAGTAACATCACCCAAAAAATGGGATACCAACATCTTATAAGTTGGGTAACAACACCCCAAAACCAAGGTCAAAGTATTATAGAAGAGGGAAATTATAACTCAGAAGCAAAATCAAAAACATACAACGAAATATATTAACATCATTTACAAATGCACCATCAGAAGATCAAAAAGCCATAAAGACCAACAAACATTATTACAAAGGCTGCAGGAGGTCGGCTCATTTTCAAATGGCGGCGTATCACCTCAAATTTTTGATACAAACAAAATCACGCTTGAATACAACCCTGATTTACCTGACTCAATTCGTTTGTAGCCCGAAATGGGTGTTGTTTAAGCGCATATAGAAATCTGAAGTGAGAACTACTAATAAGACACTGAGGAAGATTGTTGGAAGGATGTCTGAGATGAACTCCGATGAGGATCCCAAAGAATACTCCCCAAAAGGTTTTTTTAGCAGACAGCCCAAGTGAGCTTCTCTAAAGGCCTTCCCTAGAAGTTTCTTGGGATAGCTTTTAGAAGCATGGTGCCATTCCTTACTAACATGTCACTATTATGACAATATTTAATGGACATGTAAATTATGAAAATTGCATTAATTTTTCCAACAAAAATATTTTTGAACTTAAATATTACAATTGAATTTGACGACAAATTTTCGACAACAAATTTGAAGTTTATTATTATTATTATTATTTTTTATTGCCTGCCACTGTGCTGCAAGATAAATTTGAAGTTTACAAAATAATTTTGGCAAGGATTTATAAAATAATTTTGGTAAGGATTTATAAAAATAAGGTTTTCATATTATTAAAAATTATTTGTAGTTTAGAGAGATGACATATTCTTAAAAAAATAAAAAAATCATGCAAATTATCATTTGGTTAGGTGGATAAATTCAAACTCACTTCATTCCCGTTCTTCTGTATTCATATATTTAATAAATAAGACTTTATATTTGTATACTCATAAGGGACTCCATGAGCTAAAGCATACTTTAGTAAATGTCCTGAGCTAGAAGCCTCATTCTTCTCTTTTACAGAAAGACTCCTATCTATCAAGCTTGCTTGTCAAAGTGACCTGCTGAGCTCACCATAATTATTGCTCGAGATTTATAAACTACCGACATGAAAACATTAATCAAAATAGACATGCTTCCATATCTATGTAGGAGTCGATTGACAACCAATTTACAGCTTTCTCGCGATTACATCTTGGATTGGCCTTAGATCTTATGGTCTACATTTTGTTTTTCACTTTTTCTCCCTCTCTGAGGAACTCTGGGGGGCGGGGGTAGAGAAAGGAGGTGGGACTAGCGGAATAAAGATATCAATTTACACAACTCCCACTCTGAGAGGACACTCGATCGATCCATCTCTCTCTTTTCCTCTCACTATCTCTTCCCTGATTTGGCCTCTCCAACCTCCTCTCAAAATAAGGAAACTCTGGAGTTATATGAACCTACGAGTCATACGAGATCCTACGTCGAAAATACAATAATATTCATTTATACAAGATCGTGATATATACATAATGTAAAGGCATACATGAAAAAAAATATATTTCATTTTAGATAAATTATGTAATGATATATCCCAATATAAACTTACAGCACATTTCAGTTTAATCGAATTACATAAAATCAAAGCCAATTATTATTATTATTATTTAATTTATCCCGGGATATTATTAGTTATATAGGGCAGCTATTCATCGCGGCCGTCCTGTAACATTGAACCCATTTGCGATGTACAGCGTGGCAAGAAATGGCTGCCAGTTCGCGTCCCGTGGACAAAAAAGGAGCAATAATATCGAGCCACGTCATCCCACATGACGTTTTTGAGCTGGTATAACACGAGGTACAACGGCCCTCCGGAACCTCATTCTTCCGCTCCATTTCCAATCCCATCCATCCGTTTGTTCCACGGAACCAAACGAAAATAGAACGCCCGATGACTCAGGATCACTATAATAGAGAGTTCTTTAAAGACAACATAACTAGGACGCCCTTCAACAATCTACACCACCGAGCTTATATTATCCCCCGATTTTCACTTTTCCTCTCGACTGTGATTCGAGTCAAGGTGGAAATGGAGCGCAGAGACGGCTGCAGGGTTCTTCTGTGTCTTTTTCTGGTTTTCTCTGTGGTCTCCGCCGAGATTTTCTTTGAGGAGCGATTCGACGGTAACAATCTGGATCTCGATCGCTTTCTTTTTCAGGGCTCACTTTTTCGATTTGTCTCCGACTATACCCGATATGGCCACCGTTTTAGTTCTATGTTTCTCATCTCATTGTCGATCTCAGTGTCGATCTCAATGTCGATCTAGTCTAGGGATTTCTTAGCTTCATTATTGTTTTGGAATTTTTTATTACATTTTGCCCCTTTTCAACTTTTTAATTGTTTTGATGAGGTTGTGGGGTGGAGGTTTAAGAACGTAGAATCCGTGACTTGGTTGATTTCTGCTAGCTGAGGGTACAACCTCTTGATAAGTTGGGTGGATGGTTAATTATCATTTTATGGTGTTGAAAGCGCCATTGCTGATATGTATTGCAGCTTGAGCTAGGTGAAACCGCGGAAGCTTCCACAAACTAGCAGTCACTCTAGGAAACCCTAGATCTGATTTTTTTTTTACTAATGCGAGTAAGGAAACGATATTGTCCAGCGATATTCGTTAAAACGACTTATCGATGACGAGGAAGCTAATCGTCGTGTGCTTTGGTTACACGCCGGGATCGACTGATAGGTCGAACATGCTTTTGATCCTTAAATTATTTCATTTAAAAACATGCTTAAAGTCTTTATTTGCCCTCTCCATTTCCTCTCTTTTGATCCTGATGAATTGTGATTTACTGAGCAGAAATAATGATACTTAAGGAGAGCCTTATGCAAGTTGTTGGATTGATGATGTCTTAAATCTGTAAGCTAAAAAAAAGCTAGCATTTGCAATTACCATAACTGAACTGATTCTTGATTGGGAATGCAGATATACAGTTCATCAGTGTTAGTTAGGTTGATTTTTTCCTCTCATGTGTTGCACATTTGTAGGTGCTTTGTTATTTTCCGCTGTAATTATTAATGGTGATTATTGGGTTCGAAAATCCCGATTTTTAATATTTTCTATGATGCCCTTGAATCTTCATGTATCGCTAACTGCTCCTCCTTTTCTTGGTTCAGATGACTGGGAAAATCGCTGGGTAAAGTCTGATTGGAAAAAGGATGAAAATTCAGCGGGAGACTGGAATCACACTGCTGGAAAATGGAGTGGCGATGCAAATGACAAAGGTGCTTGTCTTCTTCACATTGCTTTTCTAATTGCATTTGTTTTTTTACATGCTGTAACTACTAATTAGTTTTTTTGTTTTTTTTTGTTTTTGGGAAATACCGAATCATATAAAAAGTAAGACATGTTTTGAGTCATTTGGTTCGTGTTCAAATTGCATTTGCTTTAATTATGTTATTTTTGGGGCACTTGTGATGATCTCTTATAAAATGCTCTCTCTTTATGTAGAGATGGGGTATTTATTTTAGAAGATTCTTCTGATCTAACAAAAGAGAATCTTGATGCATCTGTACTGTAATTTTTGCAATGGACCTTTTTTGGGGCTCTGGGCTTATGCCATTTATTTTTGCCTAGTTATTTGATTGAAACAAATGTAACAAATCGGAAGGATCTTCATTGTTATAGCTTTGCATGATTGGATAAATTTGTTCATGTTTTTCTAAATTGGAACATATGTAAGTTGCTATGGAGACTACATGGTTATCAGCAGTTTTTGTCCATCGGCAAATTGTAGGTTTTAGTTTTCCGGACAATTATTATGATCACTACGATCGACTACAAACGAACCTGATATTTTTTTCTTCTCATTTTGCATTCCTCTGAGGGTTTGCATTAGTTTTCTGTATTAGTTTTCCGGACAATTATTATGATCACTACGATCTACTACAAACGAACCTGATATTTTTTTTCTTCTCATTTTGAATTCCTCTGAGGGTTTGCATTAGTTTTCTGTAACTTCTCTGTTATTTTATTCACATAATATGTTGAGAATGTTTACCATGTTTCTTTCCTCTGCTCGTGGATGGTACATGGGCTCCCCATACTTGAGGAGGACATGGGTATGCAAGTGAGTATTGTGCATTGAAACTTTGCAACCAAGCTTCTATATGAATCCAATGATGATTATGAAAATCTTTTCGATCACTCACATTAATTTTTCTATCTGCTCATTCCAATCAAGTTGAAATGGAAGCAGGAGTTTCATACTTGTGAAACCTTGTTCCTGTTTACTTTTAATCAGGCTGAAGTGAACCCTGCTGTTTAATTTTTAACACCTTTAGGGAATAGATCTATCAATTAAGAAAATAATAATAAATTAAAAAAAACCAAAGAAAAATCCACCTATCTTATTATGTTAATGACCAGGAATTTGTTTTCGTTGATGCAGGCATCCAAACCTACCCAGATTATAGATTCTTTGCCATCTCTGCACAGTTTCCCGAGTTCAGTAACAAGGACAAAACATTGGTCTTCCAATTTTCTGTCAAACATGAGCAAAAGCTTGACTGTGGCGGTGGTTATATGAAATTATTGAGTGGTGATATTGATCAAAAGAAGTTTAGCGGAGACACACCTTACAGGTAATGTTTCTTCCCTGCAACATTTGATTTTCGAGTTGCATGCATGCTTCCTATTCCTATTTGTTTTTCAAGGGCAGTAATATTTTTACTTGCACGCCAAATCAATTATTACCCTATCTAACTTGTTTCATTTTGTTATTATTTGTTTTCTAAGATCTTTCTTATCGTCTAAATGCTTCATGCAGCATTATGTTTGGGCCAGATATTTGTGGATATGCTACCAAGAAAGTACATGCGATATTGACCCGTAATGGGAAGAATCACTTAATAAAAAAAAAGGTGGCTTGGGAAACAGATCAACTCAGCCATCTCTACACTTTCATCATCCACCCCGATTCTAAGTACAGCATACTTGTCGACAATGTTGAGAAGCAATCCGGTAGCCTTTATAGTGATTGGGACCTTCTCCCACCAAAGCAAATTAAAGATCCTGATGCCAAAAAAGTATAAAAATTCTGGAGCCTTTTTGAACACTTGAATACTGTTAAATTATATTTTTTTGTTTCTAAGTTTCTGGAGCCTTTTTGAACACTTGAATACTGTTAAATTTTATTTTTTTGTTTCTAAGTTTTTTTTTTTTGCTTCTCCAACAGCCTGAAGACTGGGATGATAAAGAATATGTTCCCGATCCCGAAGACACGAAACCAGAGGTACCTCCACTTTTTTTGAAACTGTAAAAGCCAATATAGTTTCTTTTGATGATACCTTTGTGCTACTTTGATTTTGAAAGATCTGTATTTGTGTTGAAATGTGCAGCTTAAAGCTTTCCGTTGTATTTTCTCTTCCTTTATGGCTCAATGATTGTTTACCACGCTGCAAAGTTGTGCATCCATCTCTGTAGTATACAATTGAATTTATTTTGTACTACATAGCATTGTAAAACAAAACAACATTGCTACATCAAGCCGGCATTTTGTGATAACACAGAAAATTTCAGCCTTCTTGCAAAACTTTATTGTCTACATGGCTTTACGTTTTTAATTTGGATTGGCTACATAATTATGTTCGCATGATTGGGATTCATATTATATTAACAAATGTTTACCAATACAATATCTGATTACTATTTTTTTAGTTCTTATTTATTTTAAGAGCTAGAGAAGCATTCTCTTTGTAAACTCTGGTAATCATTGATGTTCTCTTTCTGTCTCCCTTTCTCCATTCCTCCCTCACCCTCTCCCTCTCTACCTTTTCATTATTCCTCTGGGTTCTTTCTCTTTTCCCTATTTTAAATATTAATCTCTCAAACTTTATCTGAATGCCTTATGCATTTTCAATATTTTTTTTTTTCTAGCATCTTAAACTCATCATTTCAGTTGCGTGAGGAGTGACTTCGTACTGAATTTCATTTTTGCTATGCCAACTGTTTAAATTTCATCTCCACAAAGTTTCATTGGTGGCTCATAATTGACACTCCTTGCATTTCAGGGTTATGATGATATTCCCAAAGAAATAGCTGATGCTGATGCTAAAAAGGTATTTCTTTTCATTTTATTTAGTGTTTACTTGCAAAATATCCGTGCATTATTTGGTTCTTACATTTTAATTTCCTTCTATGAAAATGATGTGGGTTTGCAGCCTGAAGATTGGGACGATGAGGAAGATGGAGAGTGGACTCCACCCACCATTCCAAATCCCGAGTACAAAGGACCATGGACGCAGAAGGTATAGAAGAATTTTTGGAATTTACAATTTTTTATTTAAATATATGTTGGTATGTAGGTAATAACGTTTGAGGGTACATTTGCTTATTACTTTATCAGAAAATTAAGAACCCAAATTACAAGGGCAAGTGGAAGGCTCCCCTGATTGACAACCCAGGTTCTCTCTCACTTCTGTTCATCTTGGCTTATGTCTTAACAACTGTAAAAATTGTTACCTATTACTTATAATTTCAAACTATGAATAGATTTCAAGGATGATGCTGATCTCTATGTTTTCCCCAATTTGAAGTATGTTGGAATTGAGTTATGGCAGGTAATTTCACTGTCCCAGCTATGTTTATTGATATATATAGCTAATCTATCCTGCCGCCTTTTTTATAAATTAATAATCTTCACGTGCAGGTGAAATCTGGAACCTTATTCGATAATATTCTCATCTGTGATGATCCTGAATACGCCAAGAAGGTTGCTGAAGAAACCTGGGGAAAAAACAAAGACGTGAGCTCATTTCACTGATCATTGGAACAGCTGTCAAGTGTCTTTATTTTCTTTTATCCTTACACCATGCTTGTTTTATTCTTCAGGCGGAGAAGGCTGCTTTTGACGAAGCTGAGAAAAAGAAAGAAGAGGAGGTTTGATTCTTCCACCCCTTGCTAATTTACTCTTAACACTCCTGATTTTTTCACTAAGGTTTTCAACTCTTGATTGTAATTTTTATTCACCAGGAGAAAGCTGAGGATGAGAAGGATGATATAGATGATGATGATGTTGGTTTCTGTCTGCGACCTTTCTCAAAATTGTATTGATTCTCCTTCTGTTATATTGGTATTAATGCAAGACCCTCGTTTATCACAGGATGAATCTGATGCCGAGGAATCTGATGTTGATGATGATGCCAAGGAACATCATGATGATGATGAGGATAAAGATGAAGAGGGCACAAGCCATCATGTATGTCCCAAACTTTCTGTTTCATAAGTTCTCCACTTTAAGTTACCATTCCATTCCCTCTTTAATTTGATACAATATTTAGTAGCCAGGTATAAGGATATCGATAATTGCTTTAAAAAAACATTTTTATTAGATAATGTTGCATGAGCTTCTTCAAGGCACTTCAGGAATATGAAATTTCATCTAATAATTTGATTGTAATTGCTAATGACTGATTGCTGACTTGTGCAAAGTTACATTTTCCATTGGGGAATACAGTAAAATAAATATCTAAATTTATAAATTGGGATGCCTCGCTGCCTTTTTAGTTTGCTCGTGTTTCATCCATTTGCGGCGTGCCGGAGTCTTCAGAACTTCTGCCTTGCTCAAACTGTGTTAAATTTTTTAATCAGTTTTTTATTTCTAAAATTATCTCAAGAATCAAATCAATTTGTGCTTGAATCCTGTTCGTGTTCTGCAGGATGAACTATAGATGGAAGCAGTGCTGCCTTTGCAACCGGAGAAGGGCATGTTTGGATTATCCCCTATTTGGGGGTTTAAGGGAGTTTAGTGGTAGTTTGAATGGTTGAGCCGAGCTGCTCTTCTTTCTTAATTTCAGACAATTTTTTTTGTATCGGCATATAAAGTCCTCAATGGAATTTGCTTTTAATGTTTTATGATTTTGATTACATAATTGCATGCGTGCTTTTTTTTTTTTGGTCGGGATGTAGTTTTCTCCTAATATTTCAATCTAATATCTTGGGTTGGCTGTTGGCGTTTGTTTTATGAATCTGCTGCATCTGTGTGCACCAGGCAGTATGCCTTGTAACGTTGGTTTCGAATTTCATCAAGGTTTTGTAATGTGGGGGCAAATTTTACGGGGATTTTTTCTTTATATATCAAAAATAAAAACTGTCAATTTTATTCGAAATTTTACTTCGATTTGAAATATGCTTTGAATCTTGAATGCCAAATTTGAAGGCTGATAATATTTGAGTGTTGTTTGAACAAGGATTGAATTATATATTTTTACTAGGCGTTATTTTACGACCGAATCTTGTTTGAATTTTGTCATAATTGATTTTACTTGATTTTTTATTTGAATGTGGTCTAGGAACTTATGTACTATGGTTTAGTTTTGAATAGAAAATGGTTTGAATATTTGTTGAGATTTGAATATTGATTGTAATATATAAAGTTGATGCAATAGTCAGCAGTCATATGAGCTTGATGATATAGGATGTGTTTAAAAGGTTATAAAATTTATTTTACCTTCACAAGTACATTTGTATACAAGAAATATGAGTGTTAAGGCTAAGAAAAGTAATTAACTTATTTTGATTAAGTAGAGTTTATAAACTAATGCATTATTAAATCCAATAGAAATACGAATGATATTTGTACATAAATCACCCTAATGGAATTGTTGTAGGGGAAGTCACTAACGAATTTAACGAATCAAAACTAGACGTTCCGTTTATTAAAGCATAAATCAAAAAATATTAAAATATATGACATAATAAAAGAAGTGGGAATAATTATTTACTAGCAGTGTATTTCCGTAGCCAACGCTTTTAGTAAATAATTATTTACACTTCTTTTATTATTTGTCTTATATTTTAATATTTTATTATCTATGCCAATTGCCAAATAAAAAGTGGTATTACATTAGTGTAAATATGCTATGTGTTTCAAGGAATATTAATTTTAATTATGTTATGACCATATGAATGATTGGCTGATTGCCATTGTTAAGTGCAAATATGCATTTTTATATTAACACGTATATGCCACAACATCAGGCAAGGTTCTATATATTTATCTGCCCATAACTCATCAATAATTTATCTCTAGTGGACAATATTTTCATAAAAATATGCATGCATAAATATAATTGATTTCTCTATTTAATTTTTAGTCTAAATAGCATTTAACAAAAGGGTTTAATATCATTGCACATGTGATTATTATAAATATATATAATCTCCACATTACATGTAGTTTGCAGGAATATTATATATAGTGTAACCAACATTATTTATATATCAACATCTTTGTTACATGAATATAATTTGTTGCATTTAAGATAAATAACCTACATGAAAATAAATATGACAGTTATATGAATTTATTCAATATATGTGAATTTATACAGCAATAAACCCAAAAGAATTAACCACACAACTTCCTCTTATTATGACCATAAAAAAGACCAAGTTTATGCATGAAAAGTAATAAAATATTAATGAAATGACCTAAAACATAAAAACTTCTATGAAATTAATAAAACAAGTTAAGGATAACCTACCTAACAAAGAATTTTTCTTTTAATAAATAGCAATAACTTTTCTTGAAATGAGAGAGACAAAAATTCGGCTCAATTTAAGATTCAAGCAATGATGTTAAACAAAACTTAACTTGAAAGTCATAAAATAAGAATTCTTCTTTGTACTGAAGATCGTAATATTGAATCATACACATAAACACATATTTCTAATATATCTAATTTTAAGTGTATGTACTATAACTTATTAGTTGAGCCTACATAATTTTGGTTACAACATAATTAAGTTGAAAGCCACTAAGCAAAAGATATTTATAATCTAAAATTAAAGGAATGAAATACACATAGTACTAATAATTAACTAAATATTTAATTAACCTAATATAACATTAAAAATAAACAATTTGAGAATACAAATCTAATCTAAATTTATATAAAACATTAGCTTATCCAATTGCAGAAAGAAGATGAATAATGAAGTCATGTATCAAGAAAAAGAATGATAAAGTGAAAAGAGGTGAATGCCTTGTGTGTATAGATGTTAACAAAGACTTGAGAGTGGTTCTCTTTTATTAGAGAAGAAGAAGAGGGATTCTGTTGGCCGCTTTCAATTATGAAGCAAAGAAGGGATGGCGACTAAGATTTTAGGGTAAGGAAACAAGTTCAATGACTGCATATAAAGAATGCAAAAAGAAGGGGGGATCAAAGCATTAACATCATTCATCCTTATCAAAAGAGGGGGTAATGAGAATGAACAAATATTTGTGAGGATTCTTGCTAAGAGTAGCACAAGTTAGAGTGATTTGTGTGAAGGAGTTCGAAGGTGGGTATTTATGTGAGAAAGTGAACTTTGGGCTTGCTATGGTTCCATCTTAATTTGAGCTAATAGTTCGATTTAGTTATTACATACCATATCTCTTTAAAAATAGTCTTGAAATAATTGTGGGTACTACATTATCATTTCTTCTTCAATCCTCTATATTGCTTCACTTTTTTGCTGATTTTTTAAAAGCACTAACAAAATAAAAAGATCATGAAGAAGCTCTCAAGGGTTACAATCTAAAATGTATTTTGGTACCTCTTCATAACTCAAATTTTCTCAAAAAGATTATAGCTCAAACTAAAAAAAAAAAGTGACAGTCATTATGCACATAAATTCATAGCTGAGAAAAGCGAAAGATATTATGCAATCATACAAGTCTTGGAGAAAAAACCAAACAATAAAAGCTGAGCAAATTATTTCTATTTATTTGAAAGAACGAATAAAGAAAAGCTAAAGCTTCTCATGCTTATCAAATCATATAAAATTCATGCTTGGGTGTTATCTTGAGAAAGATATGTCATATAAAATTCATGCTTGGGTGTTATCTTGAGAATGATATGTTGTTTTTTTTTTCTTTTTGTAAAAATGAAAACAATTTAATTTAAACATATAATTTTGATTTTGAAAAAGTGAATTTTAATTTTGAAAAATGAATGAGATCAAACGAATCTCATATATTTAATGGTTTAAATAATAGAGCAAGATAGTACAAGTAAGACTTCATCCTTAAAGAAGAGGATATCACACAAGAATGGTCTCAATTATTCAAATTAAGAAATTTATGATAATTATTTGTATGTGAAATTTCCAACAAATCGTTCCCTTATCTAGTCTGAAGATTGGGTAAGGTTTAGATTATCTGAGTTACTAATTCTTTTATAGACGCAAGCCCCTATAGTTAATTACATCTTAAAAAACTGAAATCACTTACGAAATCTCTCGCTTAAGATCAAAGTTTTTCTTTAAGAATTCAAAGTTCAATTTTCACGATTGATCATAGAAAAATCAACTAGGAATGACTCCATGCGAAACAATTATTTTTGGAATTCAAATGAGCGAAAGGTAGGGGATGTTATAAATACTGAGAAGACATTAGTTGGTTGAGAACCTTCAACATCCTATTGAGACATGAGAAATATATATAATGAATTGTATGAGTATTGCGTGGATCAACATGAGACTTTTTTTGGAGGGATTGTTATCTTTCTTTCAAAAAACTAATTATTCTGTTCTTCATTATATTATAATTGTTGTAAACACTTTTCTAGTGAATCTGCTTTGATTTAAACGAAGCTTTCTATTTTATTTTCTCCATGCTTAGTGAGTACTTTTCCTTACTCTTTCTCATTGTGATTAGATTTAATCATGGGTAGGATTAGAATGGTTTGAAGATTTCTTTTATTCCAAAATTATGATGGTATTTTCATGGGTTCTTAATTTACTTTACAAACTGGTTATTTGTAATGTTAAAATCCATTACGAAACATAATGATCCGGGAGGGCTATGATTTCACACAACTAGTGAATACCACATTAACCCTTAGGATGGTATGAAACTTAGTCCAGGGGAGTGAAAATAGATAGAGAGATAAGTTTTGATGGGCGTAGAATTGGTGATTCTAGGGTGACATGTTAGAATATTTACCAATTTGATGTAGAGTTGGAACCTGAGACCTGATTAGTCCTATAGAGGACACAATGAGCAATCTGGAAGCGACATGCGAGAACCTACCCATCATAACCATATCAATTAAGAACTTACTTTAGGTTAGTCAACATTCTTTATGCGCTTGGAAGAGGGTAAATAATAGGTATGCTCATATTTGACACAAAGCTGCATTTAAATTTTAAACATTTGATTCCTAAACTAATTATGATCTCATTGTAAGGGGAAATATATTTTTATTATATAAGAATTTTCCAAAATTTGACGAGTCTCCTTAGATTAGGTTTTTATTTAATTTAGTTAACTTTAATTTTAGAGTAAACATATAGTTCTCATTTTGTAGGTGTTATCATAGTGCAATTATATTTTTATTTACTCATTATGATTCAACAGATCTGACTCTCCCGACTTGTTATAATTAATTAAAGAAAAGAGACGAATCCACTCATGAATGAGATGTAAAACATGAAATTAATAATTTGATTTTTTTTTCTTTTTGGTAATGTTACAGGTAATGTTGTAATCCATTGCATGTTTTCCAAGTATTTGATGGTTCTTATAATTAAAATCATGATATAATTGATTATGACCAGATTGATATGCATTTATTATTTTGTTTTTACTGGAGACTAATTATGTGTAGATATTTTCTTATTTACTGTTCTGTGCTATTAATTTATGCCATTGGCTCTCGTTTTCCAGCCACGAGGCTAAAAATATGGGCATGATTTGTCTCTAAATATTAAGAAATCTCTCATAATTGTAGCTAAAATATTCTACGATGGTATCATCTATATTTGATGACGTGGTCTGCAAGATAATAGCTGGCATTATATTTATATGACTTTTGATATAAAAATGCTTATTGGATGGTTGGAAGTGCATTTCAGTAAATATTTTACTACATGATGTCACAAACTCTCCATCGAAGTATGAGATATATTAATTATTAGCTTTCTATGGCTCGCTTTGGTATGGAACCATAAAAAAAAGGGGGCA